TTGACTAATATTTTCAGAATTCGTTGTATATATAATTTATAAAAAAAAGTTACAATAAATTAAAAAAAATATTATTTGGTGTGTTGTTATTTTCACATTCCGTCATCGTTCATAGCGCTCCATGCCTCTTCCACTCATATACCACATACGCACACACTTACAATAAATAAGATATATTTTCATACTATAGAAATAATTCATGTGGCAAAACAACGTTTGCCGGGTCAGCTAGTATATATATATAAATCTCTTGTCACAGTTTTAGTGGTTAAACTCCTCCTAAACTGCTCGATCGATTTTGATGAAATTTTATATGTATATTCAGTAGGTCTGAGAATAGGTTTATAACTAATTTTTTTTCATTTTTTGAACAAATTTAACGTATATTTTAAATATATCTTTATTTAATCGTATTTGGATCCAAACTAGACATAGAAACATATCAAAAATAATATTCACGCGCCTTGCAACAAGTCATATTAAACTCTAATACTTATGCTCACCCTTAAAAGAAGAGCATCAAATATATTTGTAAGTATGTGAATAAAGGCAGTGATATGGCAGTATTTCGAGTTGAAAATACCAATATGACTGCTCTTCCAGTGAATAACAACGACGGAATAACGCTGTACCAAATTGGCCGGTACATCAGCTCCAATGAAGCTGTTTGGCGTATCTTTGGATTCCCAATTCATGAACGGGATCCAACCGTTAGTCATTAAGCCGTCCATCTTGAAAACGGTCAGAGCGTATATTTCATGAACGAGACTGTGATTGACCGAGCTATAAATTCACCAAAAACTACACTCACTGAATTTTTTGAATTGTGTAATCGTACGGATGCTTTTGGCGCCTTTGCACAGACATTACTCTACTCAGAAGTACCGCACATGGCTCAAGCAGCCATGGTACCCTCATTTCACATGGGCTCAAACGAAAAAATGGACACCCCGCAAGCAAGGCACACCGGTTGATGCATGTCCCGGTTTATTCAAATCAAACTCCTTGAGGAGAGTATTTACAGTCACTCCAAGGCAGACTGAGTGCTTTTATTTTCGACTGTTGTTGGTTGATGCCATCGGCTCATTGTCATTTCAAGATATACGCAAAGTCGATGGACATCAGCATCCAACGTATAAAGATGCATGCCTTGCACTCGGCTTGCTGGAAGACGACAACCAGTGGGAATGTATGCTTGCTGAAGCAACATTGAACTGTACTGCAAAGTAAATTCGTCTACTATTTTCTATAGTATTAACTACATGTTTCCCGGCCCGTATAGAAACGTTATGGGATAATCACAAAGATTCGATGACTGATGATATACGGTATCAACATCGCACAAGTTGCAACGATTTAACTATAGCATTCAGCGATCTATGTACAATGAAGCACTGATTGCAATTGAGGATCTTTGCATTATTATTGCCAACTTGCCACTCAGTCATTTCTATATGCCTTCGCCAAATCGAAGTGCATCTGATTTATTAACTACTGACATGAATCATGAACTTCAATACAATACGATAGAAATTTCAGCGATTGTTACTTGCAATGTTCCACTAATGAATGAGGAACAAAGGAAAATGTATGACCGCATTATGATCGCAGTTTTGACAGGAAAAGTAGGATATTTTTTGATGCACCAGGGGGAACTGGCAAAACATTTATTATTTCGCTAATTCTCGCTGAAATACAATCAAATAATGGCATCGCGTTGGCCGTTGCATCATCTGGCATAGCGACAACTTTATTGGATGGAGGCAGAACAGCTCATTCAGTATTTAAGCTGCCACTAAATATTCGAATCAACCAAAATGCAGTGTGCAACATAAAAAAGTAATAATCTATGGCCACAGTGTTGAAACACTGTAAAATTATGTAAAAATGCACTATGTACTGTAAAAATGCACTATGGCATACAAATATTCGCTTGATGCGTTGAACAGGACATTGAAAGATATGAAAAACAATGACAAATTATTTGGCGTCACTCTGTTACTCCTTTCAGGTGATTTCAGACAAACACATCGCGTCATTCCGCGTTCAACGTATGCTGATGAGATCAATGCTTGCTTGAAATCATCTCCACTGTGGCGTAATGTTGGAAAAGTTCAACTAAAGGCAAATATGCGCGTCCAAATGCTTCCAGATCCATCTGCTGAGACATTCTCAAAACAACTGTTAGTTATCGGTGATGGAAAAGTTACTAAGGATGAGACTGGATGCATAAAATTACCGGACGATTTCTGCACAATCATTGATTCCCAAGATGCTCTCATTAACCTAATATTTCGCGATGTACACACGCAATACATTCATCATGAGTGGCTGGCAGAAAGGGTGATCTTAGCAGCAAAAAATGTGGACGTCAACGAATTGAATTTGAAGATGCAACAGTTATTGCCAGGTAACTTGGTGACATTTAAAGCCGTTGATGCAGTTTGCGATCCCATTGAAGTTGCAAATTTGCCAGAGTTCTTAAACTCATTGGATTTACCAGGCATACCACCGCATAATTTAGTACTCAAAATTGGATCTCCGGTTATTTTGCTTCGTAATTTGAATCCACCACGGGTGTGCAACGGCACGCGATTAGTCGTTAAAAAAATTAATGAACAACGTTATCAAAGTTATTATTTTAAATGACAAATTCCGGGGTGAAAGTATATTACTTCCAGGAATCCCTATTATACCCACAGATGTGCCAATTCAATTTAAACGCATTCAGTTCCCCATTAGTTTAGCATTTGCAATGACAAGGCCAAACAATGTTTGTGTCTTAGATTTGAGCACACCATGTTTTTCATACGTGGCATCCTCTCGAGTGGGCAAATCATCCAGTTTATTTGTGTTAGCTAAAGATGGAATGACAAAATATATTGTACACTCTATTGCACTAAGAGATTAATATTGTTGACTAACATTTTCAGAATTCGTTGTATATATAATTTATAAAAAAAA